GCTTGCTGTGTCCTCACATGGCTATTCCTCTGTGCCTGTGTGGAGAAACATCTCTGCTGCCTCTTTCTCCTCTTACAATGGCACACATTTGATCTGAATCAGGCCTTACCCTTTCTGACCTCATTTAATCTTTTCCCTCTTTTTTTTCAAAATTTTCCAATATTGCTGGCAACATGGGAGATCAGTAGGTCATCATAAAAATCTGCTTTTACACTCTCCCCCTAACCCTCCCCCCCCCCCCCCCCCCCTGTTCCCGATAAGCCAGCTGCTTATATTGGGTAGAAAAATAAAGATTGCATGGGGAGGTAGGCAAAAGGAATAAGAATGGGTATAATGCTTACAGGTTACAGGCAATGTGGGCTAGGGGGTGCAAAGGACAGGCAACTGACCTCATTTCACCTTTAAATGTCTCCTTATAGGCCCTCTTTCCAAATATAGTCATATTGGGGATTAGGGCTTCAACCTATGAATTTGTTGGGACACAACTCAGTCCATAAAAACCCTCCATAGACACTAAATAAGAATGAAAAATCAGAAACACAGATCACAGGACAACTTTGTAAGATGCAATGTCCTTTGTCTATTTTTGTGTTGAGAAAAGGAATGTATTGCAATGAAAGTTTATATTCTTTGAGGCTTGGTTAATAGATAGCAATTCACATTATTAAAGTGCTGAAGAGTCATTCAGTTTAAAACACTGACATAGAATTACAATCATTTCTAGTTAATATATTTAAGTCTCATACTAATGACCTAAGAGAAGTAGTGCTTTCTGGAACTTTCTTCTTTCTTTTTTATTGATAAATAGGGAGGACAGAGAATAGATAGTAGATGTTCTTGAAAGTGAGCCTAGAATAAATGGATCAGAAAGATTTAATGGAATTAAAAACAGAACCAGTTATGTATAGAACCAGTTATGCATGCCAGGCAAGATCAATGATAACAATATTATATTAAATCCTATCCTGTCAAAAATAACTAAAGTCATAACTACAGAAGTAACAGGGGAAAATCCTATATGTGTCCACATACTAACAAAGAGAATTCTGGCTGAACTCAGACTTCAGGGTTTAGAACAAAATGCCCCAAGGCAGTGGAACAAAGTCTAAGTCAATTCTGAAGGTCAGAAATTGTGATAAGATATATATTGTAGCACAATATGTGGTTAATGATGAAAACAATAAAGGGCATTCTGAGTATGCAGAAGAAAGCATACCACCCATGTACTTTTCTTTAAAAATTACTTAAAGATATACTTTAGATATACTTAAAGATATACTTTAAGTAAAAATTACTTAAAGATATACTTTTAAGATATACTTTTAGATATACTGAAAGATGGAATAAAAATGAAGTATGGAAAAGTCATGCAAGAAAAGACCGGTAGGGAAATCTGAACTGAAAACAGAAATACATCAATATTATTTTAATGACTATGGATTATGATATAACACAAAATTTGATGATACAAATAAAATATTTGATGTAATATAAAAATAATAAAATAATGACATGCGAATAAAAGAGTGATATGCAAATTAACCACCACTCTGTTACACACAAGCCATTCCCACCAGCCAATCAGGAGCAAGTATGCAAATTAACCCAATCAAGATGGCTGCAGTCATGGAATTAGCAGGAGGCTAGGGTTTCTTTAGCAACTGAGGAAGCCAAGCACCCTGGTGGGCCCAGGCTTCCACTCAAGGCTACAAAGTTTCAATTATAGAAGATAAATAAATCCCAACAAAAATGGCGGCAGCCACAGAGCTGGAGAGATCAGGAGGCTTGGGTTGCCCCTAGCAATGGAGGAAGCCAAGCTTTCTGCACACCCTGGCCTGCCTTGGCCTCTGCTGAAGGCTACAAAGTTTCAATTATAGAAGATAAATAAGTCCCAACAAAAATAACTGTGGTCATGGAGCAAGCAGGAGGCTTGGCTCCGCTCAAGTCTACAAAGTTTCAATTATAGAAGATAAGTAAATCCCAGGTACCAGGGCCTCTGCTTGAATCACCGGTGTGTGTGGCTGGCCTGCAAACTAACATAGGCCCCTCGCCCAGGCTGCCTCATGCCTCAAAGGAACCCCCACCCTGATCCAGGACATCCTTCTAGGCAAACCTGCTGGCCCTCACACCCAACAGTGCATCAGGCCTCTATCCTATCTAATAAAAGAGTAATATGCAAGTTGACTGTCACTCCAACACACAAGATGGCTGCCCTCATGTGGTCAAAAATGGCTGCCCCCATGTGGACACAGATGTCCGCCACAAGATGGCCAGCAGGAGAGGGCAGTTGGGAGAAACCAGGCTGGCAGGGGAGGGCAGTTAGGGGCAAACAGGCTGGCAAGAACCAGTTAGGCATTGATCAGGCTGGCGTGGGAGTGGGTAGGGGGTGATCAGGCTGGGAGGCAGAAATGTTAGGGGCAATCAGGAAGGCAGGCAGGCGAGCAGTTAGGAGCCAGCACTCCTGGATTATTCTCATAATGTCTGACTGCCTGTTTAGCCCCAATCTTACCAGGATCAGGCCTAAACGGGCAGTTGGACATTCCTCAAGGGGTCCCAAATTGGAGAGGGTGCAGACAGGGCTGAGGGACATGCCCTCTCCACATGAATTTCGAATAGGCCTCTAGTCCTATTTAATAAAGAGGGAATATGCTAATTGACTCTCATGCCCTCACAAAGATCGTGGCACCCATAGCCAATAAGGAGGAAATATACTAATTTACCACCATGCCCTCAAAAATGGAAAACTGCAGTGCCCACAGCCACAAGATGGTGGCTACTAGTCCCTTCAGCTCTGCTGGGACGTCAGGCGCACGGCTCCTAGGTGGGTCCTGCTGTTCTGCACACCTGCCTCCAGAGTTCCCCAGTTCCCTCATCTTCCCCAGCCATCCAGGGCCAGCCTGAGGTGCAGACAAGCCTTGGATGGTGGCTGCCCAGTCTCCTCGGGCTAACCTGAGGCACAGGTAACCAGGGCTGGGCTGAGGCTTGTGCTGCCGGCAGTGGCAGCAGCAGAGGTGTGATGGGGGTATCACCTTCCCCTGATTGCCAGGTTGCCTCCTGCCCCTGAGAGCTCTGTGAGAGTGGGCAGGCCAGGCTGAGGGATGCTCCCCATCCAGTGCTTAAATTTTCATGCACGAGGGCTCTAGTATAATATAATTAAATGCTATAAAAATAATTAATTAGAGTAAAAGAAACAAATGTTAGTAATGTAATGAATAGCAAATAGGAATTAGGGAGCTGAGGGGTATTAGAATGACAAACATTTTAGTTTAAACATGTGGTATGTTAAAGATATTTTATTTTTAGCTCTGGCATTTAAAACACACATTACAATGCACTTGGAAAACTTTCAGGTATTAGAAGAACTAAAAACTGTTACAATGCTTCCAGAATAGAAGATAAAAATAAAGAAATATAGGCACACACACACAAAAAGAAAGTATTCAAAATGGAAAGAATAAAATAAGACTTAAATAAGGCTGACTATAAAAAACCCCACACAAATGCAATGGATTACTTCTTAGAAAAAATATAAAAGTGGAACTGATAAAAAAAACAATAGGATATTTGAATAGTCTAATCACCATGAAAAAAAACAAACAGAGAAAATAGTCAATAAGTGCCTCTCTAAAGGACTCTAGACTATATAATTTTATAAATTTAAAACACGACATGTTATTCCAGAACATATAAAATGGTAGGAAGTTTTATGAGTTATTTAACCAAGCAAGGATAACCTTATGCCTAACTATGGCAAAATACAAAAATTTATAGACCAATCTCATTTATAAATACAAATGTGAAATCCTAAAAAATACTCTCTGCAATGGTATATTAAATATATAACAAACAAAAATAGATTCCATACAAACTTAGAATTTAACTTAATAAAATTTTCATAATGGTATGAATGTACAAAAGCCCAGAATATGAAAAATTTTATAGGGTGAGGGCCCCAGGTGTTATAATAATGTAACCCCTCTAATGTATGAAATAATTATTGTGTAAAATGTTTGCTATATAGAAACCCCCAATACTCTGTAACTTCCAAAATTAATGAACACTCCACTATCTTGATGTAAAAGCTCTGAGCCCTTAAAGTGTAAACGCCCTGCTTCCAGCATAAGGTACACCATCTGGCCCACACTGATAAGGACACAACTTGTTTATGGTGTCCATATAACCCTGGGACCATCTTCAGTTGAGGTCTCCTGCCCGATAAGAGGAGGACTCCACATTACTCTGAGAGACAAGCCCCTGATTGCTCTGCTGTGTGAGCCGGAACCAGCTGTGGCCGCCTGCCTGTCTCTGTTTTCACCTGTCTTTCAGTGTGCATTGCCAGGTGGCCTTTGCTGGAGCCCAGGACCTACTAGGAATAGGTAAATAAACCCTGTGTGATTACATACTAATTCTGTTTTGTGTGTCATGTCTTTCGGTTTGGCTCAGTTGTCTAGACATTGAAGTACCAGAGGATAGGTCGTTATTGCTGACTCCTGGTCACCTGCATTTGTCCCACTAAGTCTAGACAGATAATTAATTGGGGCATAATTGGGACAATAGGCTCTCCAGTGAATAGTTGGCAAGGAATAAAATTGGCAAACATAGAATAGAAAGGAACTTAAGAGACAGAGTAGTCAAATGCAATGTGTGGAACTGTTTGAATCTTGACGGAAACAAATCAATTGTAAAAAGATTTATAAGAAATGGGGGAAAATGTGAACTATGATGGCTATTTAATAGTATTAAAGAAGAATTCAATTTTTTATGTGTGAGATATAATTTTTTAGTTGCAAAAAAAATACAACAAAAAAACAAAACAAAACACTAAAAGGAGATAGAAGGTGTGATGATGCTATGAAAGGCCTGGATTTGAATGAAGGGGACAGAAACTCACTGGCAATCTAAAGATGACCAAGGTTACATCATCTGGATTCTGAAGTGGAGGTGCCTCAGTCCTTCCGGAATGGGGTCAAGAAGGAGCCTGGAAACTGTTCTCACTGGCTTCATGAAAATATAAGCACTTCTTTGAGATCCTTTTCAAAATTTGCCTCTAAATCCAGTCCTATCTGACCCAAGTCAGAAGCCTAAAAGAGAATACAGCAAATGCATAGATATGAAGATAGAAATAAAAAAAATTAGGCAAAAATAATATGAAAGTACTCGAAATGGAAAGAATAAAACAAGACTTAAATAAGGCCAACTATAAAAAACAAATGCAATGGATTACTTCTAGAAGAGATTTTTCCCCTGGACCTCCCCTAAAATCTTCTTCCTTAAAATCATTAGGAAAAAAGACCCAATGTGCTCTCCCTTCTGGGAGCTTGCCCAACCCATGCCTTCCCTTTCTGTCCCCCTCTTCTTCCCTACCCCAGGCACCTTATCAATTGTTTCCTCACTCCTAAACTCCAAGGACCCCTCCTTTGCAGGAAGCAAATTCCAGTAGTTGGCATAATAAATGTGAGAAGGTAATCAAAAGGCTGATGGACAGCTTCAGTAGGGCTGAAAATCTGTATATATTATTGTCTACTGCTGGAATAGCCGAAGGCAGTCCCCCCAAACTTATAATCTTTTTTATTGTTCACCAAACTTTGATATGTATACCTGCTTTGCTAGAGGGCAAGATGTGTGAATAAAAAGTCCTGGGTGAAGAGATTCAAGGAATTTAGTCACTAGCACTAAGCTTCCTCTGGATCCCCCAATATGCCTTCCAAATTTATATTTTATGTCTAGTCTCTTTATCATTTACATGCAGCCCCTTTTCCAGATTCCTGAACCCTTGTAGATGCTGAGAAAGACCCTGGTACTCCTTTATCTCTAGAACTTGTTTCTTAAGCCCATTTCTTTCAGGATTACTTCTACCTCTATGATTTACCAAATAAATGTTCTCTTACAGTTTGGGCCATGGCTCTGAATTCTTTCCTAGCCAGAACCCAGGTTTGGTCTGACCCCACTGATCAGACACCTGGTGCTGTTCCCACTGCCTACAACCTAAGGACATTGGATTAGGACTATTCAATTACTCCAGTACTGAGGCAGAATGGGTGGGGAGATGCTGCTGCTACACTGAAATGGATGAGAGCCTCCCTGGTTGGTAACTTGGACCTGACAGGTGGTCTGAAGAACTAGTTCTGATCACTGAGAAGCTCAAGATTGGTGTTACATAGGAAAAGTAAAGGCATTTCTTGAAAGCTCACTCTTTGAAGGAAGGATGAACCTCCTGTTCTCCAAGGCTAAGACTGTGTTAGGTGTGAAGGCACTCTCAGGTCCACTCTGCTACTTCCAGCTCCATATATAGACAATTTATGGCTTGTGAACATGCTGAATTATGGTATGCAGGAGGGAGGGATGCTGGGTGAAGGTGAGAACCTTCTTTAACTATCTCTCCAAGTATGTCTGTACAAGTTAGAGTAAACACCAGGAGATAGAGAAACATCAAAAAACCAAAGCTAATGATGTCTTGGGGTTGGAGGAGGGGTAGAAGGGGTCAATTGGGAAAAAAGGGGGGACATATATAATACTTTCAACAATAAAGATTTAAATTGAAAAATACCTCAACTAATTGTCTCTCCCTACAAAGGAAGGTGGAAGACAATAAGAGCTTAGGACAATTTTGCATGAAGTTTAAGTTCACTGGGAAATTTAGGTGTCATAAATCCAAGCATATGCATCCTGAAAGTTTAATTTATTTCATCTTGCTTAATTAACTCATCTATATATTCCTGGGGCATGAAGAATTATGGAAACACAAATTGCCCTTCTTCTCAGTTTGAACAAGGAGGCTGGTGAAATTGATTGTCTTAGTGGGAGCAGCCTGCCAATCTGGGAACTGCGGATGGATTTTTTTCAGGCACCATTTACAAGAATCCTTCCCTGTCCTGTGTGTGGCTCTTTTTGACATTCAGCCCTGTAATCCTTATTTTCTGAAGACAATTCTTTTTTTTTTAATTTAATATATTTTATTGATTTTTAAAAATTCTATTTATTTATTTATTTATTTATTTATTTATTTATTTATTTACAGAGAGGAAGGGAGAGGGACAGAGAGCTAGAAACATCGATGAGAGAGAAACATCAACCAGCTGCCTCCTGCACACCCCCTACCGGGAGTGAGCCTACAACCAAGGTACATGCCCTTGACCGGAATCGAACCTGGGCCGATTCCGTCTGCAGGCCGATGCTCTATCCACTGAGCCAAACCGGTTTCGGCCTAAGGACAATTCTTGCAAAATTCTGTCATCCGAGAAATTAGGGGAAAGTAGAAAGGATGTGAGAAGGAAGTAGGACATGTCCTTTCTACTTTACCTTATAAAATGTTTTGTGGTTATGAAAGATCAGGCGTATGTCCCGTACAAACCATTCCACTGAGTACATTCTCTCAGCCAGCCTTTCCTTCACCAGGTCCAGCCACATGGCTTCCCTAAAGGGCTCAGCATAATCTCGGATCTAGGGACAAAGTCATCAGAGGGGTGATGTTAGTACAGTTATCACGATGGGATGAATCCAACTTAAATACAAGGCAAGTCTTTATTTCCAGGGTAATGATAATACCACCTGACACCTAGATGCCAGGTGTTCTGAGAACTGTCACAGTAATAATATGTGGTCTCCACAACAACCCTATGAGATAGGTGCTATAATAACTACAATTTTACAGATGAGGAAACTGAGGGAAAAAGAGGTTAAGTAACTTATCTAAGATGTCACAGCAAAAAAGTGGTAGAGCTGGGACTTGAACCCACAGTTTGGCTCCTGAGTTTGAGATCTTAATCTGTGAGCTACCTTAAGAAAGACATTGTCCTGTAGAGACAGTAAAACTAGGACCCAAGGGAGATGAAGCTAGCACAGTGGGGTGGATTTGGTCCCACTCTAACATTTGCAGCTAAAGGTTCTGCTCCCTGCAGACAGTAGCCTCTGTAGGACCCATATTCCAGGTTTCCAGGTTGAGTTTTACACCAGAGAGATGACTGGAGGATGAGACACTTACGTTACGAGGGGTCTTTGCAAAAAAAGCACTTTGTGGGTGACAGTAGGCCTTCAAGAGGAGGAACTCACATTTCTGTAAAATATCAAGAGGGTTTTAAAAAAAATGCAGCTAGTACACGGTGGAGAGATCCTGTGTCCAGACAAGCTTGCATGCACAGGCGGCAGACACTCAGGCCCTCCAACCATATTTGTCAGTGTCCTAAAGTGGGTTCAATCCTGTACAGACTGCATTTTTGAGCACTGAATACCATCCTCTGAAGCCAGACACCTTTAGGTGCCCATCCCTTGAGGCTATGACTCTTGATTTCTCACATGTGAGCAGGAAGAAAAGGTCTTGGGTTTGAATCCGACTCACCAGCTGCTCCTCAGGCCCCATCTGCCTTGTCAAGACCTCAGATCTTCTGAGACACTGTTGACTTCCTGAAGACTCCTTCATCCTGCAGAAGGTGCAACTCCAAGGGCTCCTGAGAGGTCAGGCATAAGTGATCAAGGCAAGACCTCAGAAACAGCCACCATTCCTAAGGCTGCCACTGTTTCTTCTTTTAGGAGTGGCTGGTGGGCACAGCCAGAGGTTGAAGGGGTCACTTCCCAGTGTCCAAGACCCTTAGGTGGGGTGTGACCCAATGACCCTCTTCCCATTGAGGTTAGCATTTGGGGGTCAGTAGATGGAAGGCCGTGTCAGGATGAGTGGTGTGCTCTCCTTTCCCCATCTGAGCTGCTGGGAGCACAAGGAACCCTGCGCACCAGGACTGAGTGTTGGAGGCTGGGCCTTAACCTCTGGGGGCCTTGGGCCCCAATAGCCCACTGAAAATGTAGCAAAACGAGTGAACCAGGCCATGTTTCCTGCCTTTTCTGAGTAAGCACAGAACACAGACCAGTGGCATTTCCCATCTCCATCCCCCTTGGACAGGAGTCTGTGCTGCAAACCTAGGAGAGGACATCTCCTTAGGGCAGTGGCAGCCTTGCCTCACAGACTCAGGCTATCACTGACAGCAGAGAGCACAGAGCTGTGCCCCACCAGGTTGCTCTGAGCATACCTGTGCCACCATGCTCATGGGCCTGCTCTTCCCTCTGGAGGTGAGGGACAAGAGACAGAACCCGGAAGAGGGTGTGCATGAGGCTGCTGCATCTCACTAACCTCGTAGCTTCTGTAGGCGGGATGTGACAGTCTTCATGAAAGGCTCGTGGACAGGCGTCACAGCTGAGCAGCTGTCCCCCTCTACAGCACACCACACATTCATTTGCATTTTCCCACTGGAAGAGCAGATAATGTGGACATGCCTGGGATCAGCAAGATCCGCTGAGCACTATGGGGCTCTGGGACACACCATTTTTGCCTGTCCCAGTAGGGACTGGAAGGTCATGGAAGCCCTTTCTACACATATGGTTTGAGGGTCAGTGGCATTAGCATTGTCAAGGAGCTATATATACTGAATCAAGGAACACAGATATCAAGGAACACTGAATCAAATCTGCATTCTAAAGGATCACAGGTGGTTGGTATGTGAAATTTGGGAAAACATGGCTATAGGCGACTCCCCCCCCCCCTTTTTTTTTTTTACCAGCTTGGGAAGATGAAATGCTTTTATTCCTGCAGGAATCAAACTTAGTACCTGAGTCAGACTAGCACTCAGGCCTACTTGGGGTCACAGCTGTTCCCACCTGCTTGGTGCCATACCAGGCAAGCCTGTGGACCACTCAGAACTGTCCCTAAGGCTATGGCTGACAGGACACAAAGACAGAGCTGCTGTGCAATGGGTCATTGTGTGGGCTTGAGAACTCATATGGAGCTTTCTTGTGGCCTTAAAATGGGACCCAGTAAATTCTGCAAGTGATTTAGGTGAGGAATCCTATTTTCACTGCTGAGTAAAGCACTGGTTCTGCTACTGATGCCTCTCCCCACTCCCCCACCCCCACCCCTCCTGTGACAGACAGCAAGGGCTCTACATGGATAAGAGACCACTTTCTCTGTGCTGAAGGTAGGAGCCAGGAAGTGGCATTCATCCTTCTGTGCCCATTGTGCACCCCAGACAGATGTGCATAAAAAGGTGGGAAACAGATCATCAGGAGCTGGAGGAAAGGATCCACGGGGCTGTGACAGGCCAATGCCCTTAACTGTCATAACGCAAGCATGAGGATCTGGGTAAAAGCTTAGAGAGGGAAACATTTTTCCATTCTCAAGACTGGCCACTCAGCCAGAGTGAAAATTCCTTTTGATTTTGGGAGGGTGTTCTTCTTGCTTGTAACTGAGAGGAGGCTTCGCAGCAGCTCCCTCCATTGACTGGGCCCTAGGACTTCATAAAGAGGGATCCCTCCACCCTGAAGTCCAGTGGATTTTTCTGGCCTTCACATGCTAAATTCTCCAGTCTGCTTTTCTTTGTCCTTGGGGTTGATACTCTATGGTCATTCTTGCCCTCTGACTGGATGCCTGGCCTGCTCTGACCAGGATGCAGATTTCAAGGTAGCCTAGACCTACCTACTCTTCCTAGTTAAGACTCTAGTTGGATCCAGAGTCCTGAGCCACCAGCACTCCCTGCCCCCAGATACTCTAGATTGAAATTGTTTCAAGCGCACATGATAGAAAAATAATAGAGAAAGGACATACAATTCTTCAACCTCTTAATCTCTAAGAGTCTGACTCTGGTTTTTGTGATGACCATTGATAGTTTCAAGCCCCATCCTCTTTCTTACCCTCTTGCCACATCTGTGCAAGTTGATAAGAAAGTTATGGGTTTATAAAGATATTTTTTTTTAAAGCTATGGGTTCCTTCCCTCAGCCCTAGTAGAAAGTCCAAACCATATAGGCCCTGCCCCAGCAAGAGAAACCTCACCCTATTGCTAACTGTCCTCCTCAACCCCACACTACACTTTCATATAGGAGAAACCATTGAGGCTCTCACAAGCTCTGAGCCAGTACTCTGCACTAGCCACCCATTGTGGGAAACCACAAAACACGTTTGCAATGTTGGCATCAGGTGTCTTGATGGTACACACATACAGAATTCTACACCAGTGGGACTTGGTCTATTGCAGAGCAACAGTGATGTATAGAGTGATGGGGCCAGGGAAGGGCCTGGGTTAGTCGTTTGAAGTCAGAACTAGACTTCATTCTCATTATCCCAATATGGCTCCTTCTAGGTGGGATGGAAGGTCAGATCAAGTGTACTCCTGGCTATCATGTGCTGACATGTGGCATTACGTACGAGTAAGAAGAAACTATAATATTGGGGCTATGAATTAATGATTTGGATTTTAAATATCTTTATTGTTTTTTTTTCTGATTACAAAAGTATTAAGTGGTTATTTAAAAATTTCCACATGTACATAAATGTGTAATATGGAAGGCAAATTTCCCCTATAATTCTGTCCCATAATAGCTATCTCTTTCACATTTTTAAAAGGCATAGACCTACATATTTACATAAACAAAACAGAGTGCTACCAGTTTGAGCTTCTAAAAGCTTTTCTGACCTCAAAACCTGTGTGTGGTTTTTCAATTGACTAAAGGATGAATCTTGACCTATGCGTTTAAAAAATACCATTCTGTAGATGTGTTAGGTTATTTTATAATACCAATGGACATTTATAGTCTTCCCTAATTTTTTTTTTTTTTTGCTATTACAATGAACATCTTACACATATCAAGGTATTTCAAATCAGTACGGAAAGGACAGCTTATACAAGAAATGGCTTTGGGGGACCATTGTTTCACACACTTTGAATGGAGCCAGTCAAGGGTCAAGGTAGCCTACAGGGCAAGATGGGACTGACACCATTGCCTCTGCTGGAAGCTCAGATCTAATGAGAAGCCCATGAATGGGACTTGAGAGGAGGCATCTAAGCAAGTAAAGAAGGCTGAGGAGAAGCAGCTGATACAGCCAGTGGATTGCCATTTTCACCTGGAGGGAGGTTCTGTAGACACAATGCTTAGTTCAAACACATTCTTCCATTCTGATGCCCTTGAGCATGTTGAGTTAGGATAACTTGGTGTTCAATAAAGATGATCATCTTTCCTTTTCTGTTCTTACCTATTTCAACACATTATTTGCTTTTCAAACTAGAGCACTCAACTTCTGACACCCTGAGTTTGCCATCATCCAAATATCCTGATCTTTGTTTACAGCATATACATCATCAGCTTTTGTCCTGATCTTTATTCTAAAGAGTTATTTGCCCCCATCTCAAATCAGCTATGAAAATAGTGGTGGCATGTACAGATATCAGAGAACTAACGCAGTCAACATGAAGACGCAGTATCTAAATATGATGGTCACTCAGAGCTGGGAAACTCCAGGATTCAAGGATGAGCCTTTGAACATAAAAAGTTGGCAGCTTGGTGATCAAAAATGTGGTAGAAATTCACTTTCTATTTACCTCTCTCTTGAAATTTATTCTTGGAGGACAGAATAAAACTCCTTTCTGAAAGAGAGAAGAGGTCAATGAATTAGGTTATTCTGGAGACTTTCCTTTTGTAATTATTGAAGTTTTCACTTCCTAGTGAATATTTGTACCTGGACATCCTACTGGGTCTCAAACCCTAAGTGTCTAAAAGAAAAATGAGCTCTTTTCCCAATCAGTTCTTCTTTTGGATTTGATAAAATCACTTCCCCCTATTACTCAAATCGAAGACCTGTTGGTCTTTTTTTTTTTTTTTTCTTTTTTTTTTTTTCTGAGTCCCTTCCCCATCCACTTTTTTTTCATTTGCATTTCTTTCTCTCTAGATAAAATCCTATGGTTTCACCCTAGCGATAATTTCTGAGTGTACTTGAGAGGCTTTGTGTAGGGATCACTAGGACCCTAGTGAATTGCTCAAGGGATGGAATAGTGTGCTGGGAAGTACAGAGAAGAGATTGACCATGGACAGATCAGCCCAGAAACACTTCACTGAGTGGTCCAGATGGAACAGTGTCTTGAGTAGCATTTAGTGAGTGGAGGACACTGGGAAGCTATAGCTGAGGTCTGTTTTCATCAATTTTCCTTTTAGCTAACCCTACCTAATACCACCAGGGAGAGCTACTTTTCTCTCCTGACTTCAAAACCCTTTGCTTGCACTTAAAGTTCTTCGCTATTAGCACTAATCTGCATTTTTAGCTTTATCACACTCATCTTTTTTTCTACTAAGGTTTACCTCTTTCTCAATCATGCTATGGAATCCTAATGGGAATTTCTTCACACTTCTGTTACTGACATCTCCCTCATCCTTCAAGGAATTACACCCATTACCTATCTGCCCCTTGTCCTTATCATACCTCCATCAGCTGTTGTAGGGTCTGTCCTTTGCAACGCACATTCCGCTTCCAGTGCTTTGATTTTGTTCCTCTTCCTTTAATTTCAAATTCTCTTGGTGTGAACCAAACTCCCTCCTCATTCTGAATGCACTTCTCTGAGGGTCCTATAAAACAAAGACAGCCCATCCCACCATCTACTTCCATCCTCTGAATTCACCCTAAACTCCAACCTCCTGTTTGTGGTGTTCTATCTTTCTGGGTTCAGAGAGACTCCCTGGGAGGCAGAACCAGTAGCAGGGAGTCTGGGTTTCTTCTCTCTCAGATTGAAGGAAGCCCTAAAACCTGTCTAAGTGGTGAGGTTGGGAGAGAATCGGCATTTTATGTGACATCTTCATGTGGCAGGGACATGGTGATCAGTGTCCCGGGGTCCATGGATGGATGACTCCTTTGGGAGAGTGTAGTGGCCAATAGGTATACCACAGCCAGGAAAAGTTTGAAAATTCCTTTTTAACAGATACTCCCTCCCCCCATCCCCCGCCCTTTTTTTTCCTGCACCCTGGCTTGCAGGGCTCATTTCCTAAACAATCACATACCTGGGTATGTTCCTCCCCTCTAGGATTCCTTTGTTAGGACAGGGCAGGGAACTTTTTTTATGCTAAGGTCAACTTGGATTATTTATGACATCATTTGAGGGCGATACAAAATTATCAACTTAAAAATTAGCCTGCTATATTTGGTCAAACATTTAATTAACTCAGCCCTAATGCATTGGCAGGGCCTGACCAAATGATTTTTTCAGGCCTTACACGGCCCTTCGTTCTGGATGTTTCCCACCCCTGGTCTAGAGGTTCCAAAGAACAGACTATCAAGGAACTCACCTTTTTTCATTTTCTCCTTATGTAAAATCCCCGTCTCCCCACCACAGGTCACAGGAAGTATAGGAGACTGAAAGTCCACAGCATCATCTTTGGGTTTTTCTGAAAGTGGACAAAGAGCACAGTTCGTTACTCAATCCTTATTCTATCTCTCTCATGAATCCTCCTTTCCATGAGCATAAGCAGCACACCTTCCTTTACTTGGTGCAGGCAGCATACTGAGTCATGGGGACCTTGTGTCCCCAGTATTTCAGAAATGACAACCCTGCCTCTAAGGGAGGGAAACAACTTTCTGAAGCGTTCCCCCAAATCTTGTGTCTGGCTCAGCTTTCCTCACAAATTTCAGCAAACAGGCCTTTAAGGGTGGAACCCTGCCTGGAGCGCTCCAGTGTGGATTAGGTCACCATTAGTAACCATCAGGTCAGGGTGAGCCAATAGGAGGAGCCTGCTTTGAAAGTGAGGAATTGAAAACCAAAGAGAGTCCATGTAAACAGAAAGCACTGTGGAGGAAATGAAAAGAAAAGCCTCACAGAGAGAAGGAAGAGCAGAATGGAAAAACAACAACAACAACAACAAAATAATTGGCCATGGGAAGACTAACTCCAGGAATTCTTACAGAACATAGGAAAAGGGCACTAGGTGAAAAATGATATGGAAAGACACTACCTGGACAAAGATCTGGGAGCTTTATGATCAGTACACACATTGTACTGCTTATTTTCACTACCATCTGTGAAACAGGGAAGGCAATGATGATCCCCTTTTTATAGGTGGGGACACAGATTTAGATCTAGAGAGAAGTCCTGGTGGTCACCACATTTCATGAGACACAGCTGGCTTTGGGATCCAGACATACCATCTAGTCTTATGCTCTTCCCATGCCATCCAAAGAGCCACAACAAGACTCCCTAATATACTAGTATAATTGATAACAGTACAGAGACACTGTTAGAAGGCACAGCCAAGGGTGGAAATGTTAAGGAGGCAGGAGAAGCTGATGCTGGTGGATAACGGTTAGTGTTTGCCTGGATTTTTGCTTACACTAGCATTTTCTAAAAAGACCAGGGATTTTTTTTTTTCTTATAAAAAATGAAGAACTTGAATTTGAACACCTAAGTTTTTAGCTCATGCAATTTTTTCTCTCTGTTTTAATGAACTATAAAATTAGTTGAATCATACTTGAGGGTTAAATGATAAAATGTAGAACAAAGTGATTTGACATTTGTAAAGTGATGTACACACTTATATTGCTGTCAGGGCCTCTCTATAACGTTGTGTGGCTTGTGAACGGAGCAAGGATTCCATCTGGGAGGGGCCTCTGATTTGCATTCAAGGCAGAATCCATCTGTACACTTGCTACAGCAATCTTCCAGCAGAGGGCAGAAAAGGCCGTAGCTTCAGGAATCAGCTCCAAGGGATGTGGGGAACATGATTGAGGAAGGAACACCCTTTTCTAGTTCACAGAGGCATCATATGGGTAATGATGTTGTTGGTATTCATCCTTGATGAGGAAGAATGAATAAGGTTTTGATGACTTGACAGTTATTTAAGCATAAAAAGTGTGAGGCACAAGGGTAGACAGCAAGACTGACCCACTTACTGACTTCATTTGACTTTCACACAGTGAACAGAACCTAAACAGATGGTTAATGACAATTGTAATAAGTACCAGAGAGAAAAAAATACAGGAAGCCCTACTCCTGCCTGCAGGGTGGAGAATCCTCTATTCAAGGTGAGGCCTGAGGATGTATAGCAAAGGGAGAGATGGGGATGAGGGAGCGTGTGTGTATGTGTGTGTTTGGGGGAGCGGGACACACCGAACAGGCCCTGAACAGGAAGAAAAACTAAAGCATTCAGTGTCAAAGGAATCTATGTGTTGAGAAATCAGGCTGGTGGCTACCGAGGAGTGTGGGTAGGGATTGGATTATGGGAGTGGATTATGTTCTGTTTCTTGACTCGGTGCTGGGTACACATGGGTTCTTGTTTTGTGTTAATTCCTCAAGCTGTACAGGTATGGTGCATGCATTTGTCCATAAGCACGTCACACCAGTGCTATTAAACTAAGCATGTGGCCTGTGAAGAGATAGGATCTTGACCAGGATGGAAATCAGTGCACTGCTGCCTGCACTGGGTAGGCCTGGCCACAAAAAACAGCGTGTTCAATGTCACAGTAGGTTCACAAGCTCTGCAGACCTACAACAAACAGGCCTGAAGATGGCACTAGTCTATAAATCCCTCTTTGAATAGCACCTCTATATATTTTAATAAGTTAATGGGACTAAAAAGACCAATGTTGCTTGTGCCAGAGAGGAAGAAGAGAATGACAAGAAAGAATGCTGAAGAAGTAAGTTATAAAAGCAAAGTGAGTACAGGAAGAAAAGTGAGTACAGGAAGAGGAGGAAAAAAGAAAGGAGGAGGAGGAGGGGAGGACAGTCAACCCAGGAGGCACAAGAGTTCAGAGGGACAGAAGCAAATCCAGAACCTGACCCATAGAGACCAGACCTGCCCTCCTGACTAACTCAGGAAGAGAAAGTCAGTCCCACCAGAAATGAGAACACGCTCGGCTTTGCTTAGCTTAGGGTTTTCACCAATTCCTAGAATGAAGAAAGCAGATGTTTATATTAAACTGGACTCATGGGTTTGGTCATTTTCCCTTATCGTTTTTGGGTCTCTATAGGTACTGTGTTGAAGAGCGGTTGCTGGGGCACAACGTGGATAGATTGGATGGCAGTGGGGCAGCACTCCTTATGTCATTCGCTGGGAGTGTGTCCCATGTGGCACCTAGTTGGAGTGGAGAAGAGACCTAGGAGGAGGACAAGGACAGTGGGAGGAGGTGCAGAGGAAGGGAGGGAGAAGGAGCTTTCAGCTCCTAATGGCAAGTCTCTGCCTTGCTTACTTACCCTTATGGGGAATACTTTTCTGACAACTTATTGTTGAACTGGAACAGACATCTTTTTTTTTCTTTTCTAAAAAAAAAAGAAAGTCAATTATAATTCACATGCTTTATATGTCAACTACATTGAAGTAACATTTCTTGTCTTTATTCCAATTTGGAGAAAGACAGATATGAATTCTTATCAAAGGAAAATCATAGCATTGACCAAGTAAAAATAGCAAGCCCATGTTAATAGATAGGCTAAAATATTACAGAAGTCAAAAATGTCAATTATTATATATAGTAATATGTATAATAATGTGTATGTATACATTTAATACAAATACTATGAGTTAATAAAGGATTAGCTTTTTACATATTATATAGGAAGAATGTTTTAAGGCAGAAGTACAGGGCATAAAGCAGAGATTCTCAATGCTGAGTGATTTTGACATCCAGGGGCTCTATGGCATGTTGGAATTTTTTATATTTTTTTTGTCATGACTGAGAGGCAAGTGCTATTGGCCTCTGATTGGTAGAGGCCAAGAATACAAAGTTGTAAAACTCTAGCATAAAAACATACTGGAAAAGATAAACTGATTTATCTAACACAAATTTAAAAAAGGTTTCTATAACCAAAAATTTCTTAAGTTAAAAGTTAAAAACAAAACAAGAAAAATTGCAATAACAAAGCATTAATTTTGATTAAACAACCACAAAAAATATTCTTATACAAAAATGGCATATATGAACAGGTGATCCTTAAAAAAATTCTAATAAAAATTTTATTAAAAAATAGGTTCTGGTCATTTAAGATTGTCCCAAACTTTATTTATAGGTGTAATAAAACTACAGCCTGAGGGCCAAATTGGCTCAATGCCAGTTTTGTAAATAAAGTGTTATTAGAACACAGTCAGGTCCATTTGTTTATATATATTTATTTCTGGTGGCTTTTGTGCTACAATGACAGTGTTGAGTAGCTGCAAAGAGACAATAAGACCAACAAAGTCAAAACTAGTCCCTTTTTATTATTGGTCCCTTTTTAGAAAAAGTTTGCTAAATGCTGGTTTAGAAAAACACAGGTTTACTTCTTCCTGATGCTGTTTATTGATCACAAGTTAGAATAGGTCTCGCTCCATTGACACTCATGGAGTCTGGGACAGAGATGCCTAACATTGCTGAGAATGACAGAGAATGAAACACAGGGGCTCTTATATCTTTGGTTTGGAACTGACCCTCTCACTTCTGCCCACTTTTCTTTGTCATGTCAAGTCTCATGGCCATTCCTGAGTACACAGAGCAGGAATATACACTGAGTGGCCAGATTATTATGATCTCTGAACGCATAATAATCTGGTCACTCAGGATGTGTGTGTGTGTGTGTGTGTGTGTGTGTGTGTGTGTGTGTGTATAATGCATATATATATATATAATGCATATATATAATGCATATATATATATATTCATATTCATGCACCAGGCCTCTAATCCACTAATATAAATATATAGAGACCTGGTGCATGAATTTGTCCATGGGTGGGGGCCGGCCAGCCTGGCCAGGGGGAAGGGAAATGGGCATTTGGCCTGCCTGCTTGCTGGCTGAACTCCTGGTGGAGTGGACAATTAGCATATTAGCCTTTTATTATATAGGATATACACTGAGTGGCCAGATTATTATGCATTCAGAGATCATAATAATCTGGCCACTCAGTGTATAATCTTCTGAAATATTGATGAGAAGTTATACAACCTGTAACAGCATGTTTAACCACATGCATGGTACAAAGAAATTCAAAGAGAAACATTGGAGGAATATCATTTTATGCTTTTCAGTTGTCTAACAAAGAAGTCTCATTATTGTGAAGGTGTAGGAAAGAGGATGTCCAGATCTCATTAATGGGAGTCTAAAGTAGCAATTATTTGCTTATCACTATATGCTCACTTTAAATATGTAGACTCATTGACCAATTGACTTCACTTTTAGAAATTCACCAGTAAAAAATACTATTGAGAATGTGTCCACTTTAGGGATTGGTGACAGTCTCCTCATTGGGTCACCTTGAATCAGAGAGGAGCCCCAGATTCAGTGGAACAGTGGTGACTCTACCAATAGAAATGTAAGCAGTCAACACTAGGAAGTGGTCATGTGAGTCCACAGGGCACAGCTGAGGTCAACTGCACCCAGGGGACATACTTATTTCTTCCAACAACCACTCAGACCAACAGATCTTTGCTGTCTTCATGCCCTTCTTGTCTACACTCTGTTCTTCTCATATTAACTTTTCATGTCCACCTAACACTGTGCCTGCTGCGTGAGAAACCCTCCCACACCAAGCCTTCAAATGATAGATTCTGTCACCAGCCTTACCCTTAGGTCCAGATGTTTGGGCACATTCAGTCTTTGCCTTTTGGGCCCTTGTCATCATTCTTGGGTTTCTGGTTGAGTTGTTATTTTGAGTTGCCTGATCCACCATTTGAGGCTTCTGTTGGGTTCTGGGCACAGATGAGGTGGTTCCTGGGCCAAATAGGGATTTGTGAGTAGTTTCCATTGGGGTCCCTAATGCAGCTCCTGATCTTTCCCGTTCGTGGCCTTTCTTCTGATGCTCCCTGTCTCCACACTGCCGGGAAATCCTGCATCCCTATACCTCACTTTACCTTCCTGTTTTTCTATAAATACTCCTCTTCTTTCTCACAATACACCTTCTGATTCCGTATTCCCCTTCGACTCCTCTTTTTGCCTGTTAATTACACGTGCATCAGTGATATTGTAAGCTTCATGTCTGTTTTGCTCTCAGATGATTTCTCAAGACCCAGGACACGTGCCTGGCACCCACCTCAACCCAATTTATCTTTGTTGAATGAATATACAAGGGCACTTAATATTTTTGAAATTACTAGAATTATGAACTTTTCATCTTTATAAATCCCAGTGTCCTAGGGTTCCCTAGTTATTAAATCAATAAGTTTCAGGGGAGGGCAGATGCTGGCTAGAACTGAGAAGTCATGGTTCAGTTGAAACCATTTTGGAGACATTACACATCCTGAAGCACAAAATTTGCTGAGAACAAAGGGAATTTCTAAGTTCCAAAAATTTTCTTCATGTACCAAGAAGAAAGATTTGGAAGTCTGAATGTAAAATTTTCATACAAGTCATTGGTAACAAAAACTCAGCATATGATAAAAAGTAAGTTTCCTCCAACCTAAGCAGGCACGAGGGTTGGGATTTGGGAGAAAAGACAAGGGTTGGAGGGCACAGAAGGAGATCTGAGTCCCTTCATCCTCAAGATTGAGGGTGTTGGAAAGAAGCAGGAAAATGGGGTATATCCAAAGCAGGGAAGCTCATGTGATGCTGCATGTTTGGAAGTTGAGATAAGGTCCCTTTAGAGGGTACCCACTACTCCATAAGATAGGAAATCCAAGCGATTTCTCACCTACTAGCATATTTCGAGCTGTAGAAAAAGGAAAGGAGAAAGAAGAGGAAAAAGAGAAGAGGGAGAGAATGCAGAGAAGAAGGAGAACAGGATGATGAAGACAGCAGAGAGAATAAAGGAGCCAGAAAAATGCAGTTTCATGAATTGTTACTTCCTGTAGGAAAATAACACAAGTTTCATGGTAGATGCATGATAAGTAGGTGGTTTGGTGCACTCAGTGACTATAAATCTAACTCCAGCATGATGTGGGGAATCTGAATCCTTGCTGCACATTCAGATTTGTTTTATCTATTCTTCCTAGCTCTCAACTTGTACTAGACACATTTTCTAATCTCAAAATTGTCTGATGCCTCTTGCCCACCTCACCCCCATTCCTTTCCAATGGTAAGAAAAAAAAAGCTTTTGGAAACAATAGAATGTCTGGGTCCTTTTTTTGTGAGGAGAAGTCCTTTCACAGGGTGGCTTAAGGGTCAGGGATGGGACTAGCCATGTTCCCGTGACACCAGGTGATCATGTGCCTGGAAAAGAGGCCATGCTTGTCCTGCAAGTGAGGGACCTCATGAATAGCAAGGAAGTGATGACTTCACTCTTCTTGCTTACTTTTCTGGAGCCTTTTTTTCTGTCTTGCTTTTGCCCTTGAGTAGCTATATTTTTTTCTTCTATTTTCTAAAACAGAAAAAATATATCTCATGGCCACACAAATTAATCTACAAGAGCTAGATGCCAATACTTTATAAATCAATTTACTTCTGTCTTTCCATCACTTTGAGGAAGTAGAAAATCATGAGATCTATGTAAAAAAAAAAAGTACTCCATTTTAATTTCCATTTTACTTGGAAATTAAAAAACTTGAATAAAGAAGTAATAAAGATATACTAAATTGTTAACGTTTAAATAAGGTCTTTTTTTCAAATTTATAACTTGGTTTTTAAAGACTTGAAAATATATATAGAGAGATTATTATAAGATTTAGATATAAAATATTTCTTAGCCAAAACTCAAGGCCAGAAATTATAAAGGTAAAAGATAGATTTAACCACTAAAAAATTTAAAAATGTCCACACTTCAGAAAACATCCCCACAATATTAAAACAAAAAATAAAAAATATAGAGGGTTAATATCCTTAATAAATAACACAAAAGATGAATAACACAAAAAATGGGGCAAGAACATAAATTTAAAATAATTAAAGTAGAAATACAAATAATAAATTTATTTAAAAGTTATATTCAGACCACTAAAAATATAAAAAATGTATTGCTTGGTTTTAAGGATACCCCACACTTTAAAAAATTTATCCTATCTAAGTTGATGAAGATACAGTTAATGAGCACTCTTGTATTGTTAAAGAGAATGTAAGCAACTGCATTTTTGACAGAACAATTGGGTGACATATATGAAATTCAAGATAAAAAGATTGAAACCAAGTAATCTCACATTTAGAAATTCCAAGTAAATTATTGGAGAAGTGTGGAAAGATACAAATACATGTGAATAGGGCATACATGGGGAGGGGTTTAGGATGGGAATGGGGGGATAAGGACAATTATGTGACACCATAATCAATAAAGAATAAAAAACACACATGTGAATATGACTTCTATTTTCATATAAAAATTGAAAATAGCCTAATTGTTCATCAATAGGTGATGACTTAAATTGTTAATCATACAATAATGTGCTATGCAGTTAAGAGAAAACAAATAGGGAACACTAACATGAAGATATGTGCATGAAATTTGCAATAAAAATGTATTAATAAAATAGACTAATAGTATATATAGGTACATACACACACACACACACACACACACACACACACACACACACAGTATATGACAATTGGTAAGAGTGACGTGGAACCCACCCAGACAGAGAACATCCAGGTTCTACACTTACCCTTTTTCCTCGGAGATTTCCTCAGAGGCAGTCTGCTTCCATCATCTAGGGGATCTACAAAGTAATGACAAAGTTACTTTGAAATAAGCAGGCTTTACATTTGTTGACCACACTCATTTCAGACAATATTAAGATGACAAAGCTTGGACAACGCTATTTCTGTCCCTTCCTTTCTGATGGGGAATCATGGCTTCAAGGCATGAGTCCTGTATGCAGAGAATCGTCTAAAACTCATTTGACCTTTTACACTTCTCAGTATTCTCATCTGTAAAATTGAATAAACTACTCACACTTCTCCAAGGGCAGTTGTGAAAATAAATAGAATTTATCCATGAGAAAATTGGAAATGAAAGAAAATAGAAGTCAGTGCAATGGAGGAAGCAGAAATTGGGTGACATATGAAATTTCTAATGGAGAAATTGTGAAAATGGTCATTTATTTCAAAGATGGTCAAATTTAACACATTCTTTGGGGCAATGACTAGATATTTGTTGTTTGTGAGTCAATGTGGGATTTTTAAGTTGTGATTTGTAAATTGTCATATAATGACCAAAATCACCAACAAACAGAAGGATGCTCAGCTTTTCCGCCTCAAAGAACAGTGATTACAAGGAGCATAAACAGTAGCCATGGTGAGAATGAATTAACATGCACTCGTTCATGAGCGCATGCCAACATCATCATAAGTTGCTTGTGCTCAGTTATACTATTATGTTTGTGTCTATGATGAGATGTTCTCTTGCCAGTCTTGGAGATTGAGACTTATAAGAAAAAAACTTGATCTAAGACTTGGGTACTTCCAATAAAATGCCAAGAATATGCTTAGTGCATGAATTCTCAGTAGTGGTGATACTGCCCAAAAATTGATTCCTGGGGGGGTGGGGGAGAAATCTTACTCTTTTTTATGTATAAGGCATAAATAAATATATGCAGTCCCTAAATCAACATATATATCTTGTGATATTAAAATGTCACGGGGGTGTGTATTCTGGATTAGGTAAAAAACACATGCAAGTAGGCTCCCAAGGGCAGTGATAATGAAAAGAGGGCTGAGAAACTCTTGCTTAGAGTAAAACAGCTCTGAATCTGGGTTCTGGAGACTGCACTCTGAGACTCACAATCCCTCATCTGTACCTTGTGTGATTCTTGATGGCGTGCTGGGTGGGTCCTGAGGACTCTGCTTCATTCATATCTAAAGTTTCATCACTGACCTCTCAAAAAAAATGTCATTCTGCTCCGATCTCAGTAAACATGCCCTAGAAAAATCTCATGGGGAATCTCGAAGAGATCCAGGGAGGAACCTTGCACACCCTGCAGCTGAAGGCTGGAGGTTGCACATCTTCTAGAACCTCCACGGTGCCCTCCTGTGTATCCATCACTAGGTATCTCCCACTCAGGGCAGCAGCACATCCAATGAGAAAGCAGTCATCTGAACCCCTGGACCAGAGGCTCAAAGTGAGGTTATGAACCCCTGAGGAGTTCTGGAAACCCTTTTAAGAGATTTGTGAGGTCAAAGCTGTTTTCATAACAAGGTATCCTTTGTCTTGGTCACTATGGAGATTTTTCTACACATAGATCAAGAACTGCTGGTGCCTTAGGACAAATCAAAGCAGTGTCTCCAAACCATAGGAGTGGTTACTCCTCACTGTCACTCACCAGAAAAAAAGAAAAACAAACTAGTTTTAAGAATGTTCTTGATCAGGCAATAAAAACTATTAATTTTATTACATTTCTATCTGAGTACACATCCTTTTAATAGTCTTTGTGCCCTAAGTCCCAGCTCGGGTCAGCTGTACCTTGTAATCACAGCTGTTTCTTTAACAAAAACTCCTCAGATGTAACCTGCATTTGTGCCTTCTCTGTTGTTCCTGTCATACCTCATGGTCTTTCCCTGTATTGCTCCCTCCTTCACATGTCCACCTAATTCTGTGCCTACTGCACAAGAGACCCATACTAAGCCTTCAAATGACAGATTCTGTCACCAGTCTTACCCTCAGGTCCAGACGTCTGGGCACATTTAGTCTTTGCCTTTTGGGTCCTTATCACCACCTCTGAGTTCTTGGTTGAGTCATTCTTCCTTTGAGTCTTCTGATTCACCATTTGGAGCTTCTCTTGGATTCTGTGACCAGGTGAGGTCAGTCCTGGGCCGAATAAGGATTTGTGAGTAGTTTCCATTGGAACCTCTTCTTAGTGACCTTCCTTCTCATGCCTTTAGCCCCCAAATGTTGAGATCTCTGTAACCCTGTGCCTCACTTTTCTCCTGCTACTTTTCTGTAATTATATATTTTTTATTGTGTGTGCCTTAATTCCCTTCCCTCGTCCCCAATTTCACCACCTGGTCTCTCTCTTTGTACCTATTGAAATCACCCAGAGAAATTTGGGAGAATCCCAGAGCAGTGGAGCTTATTTTCTGGTTCCTGTGCCTGAGTTACAGCTGCAACAAGGAGGTGGCCACATCTGAGTAAAAATGGCCTGGTGGTTTGTTTCAGCAGAGGAGGGGCTTTCTAAAGTTACTTCCCCAGGTTCCCCAGGGCCTATGTGTGGTATGGGAGAGATGGGGGTGGGGGATGGGTGTGTGTGAGTGCAGGGTGAGTCCGCCTCATTGTTGAAAGAGATCACAATTTTCATTGACTGTGGACTTTAGAAACTGATCCCCTTTAGAGCAAGAATATCTCTTTGAAAGCCAGGGGGACAGTATACGCCCTCTCCTAAAAGATGGACAGATAAACTTTACTTTTTATTTATTTTTTAACATTCAAGTGCCACTTATGGAGGAAGCTGGAGTGGCTAAAAGTTGGAGAGGAGGTATCCAGGGAGTTCAGTCATGGCAATTACTGAGTATTTATCCAAAACTCACTGGGGCCACCTAAAAGAGCCTAACAGTTTCCTTTAACATGTTTTTTTGTGACATGTTTTTCCCCTGTCACAAAAGGAGGGTTTCAGAGAAGTTGAGAACTGTTACCAAAAATAAAGACTACCACTGTTTTTTGTTTTTTTTTGCATTCAAGTGTATAATATGTATATTTTTAGTAGGATTATGTGTGTTCTTTTTTTTTTTTTTTCTCAGAATGTGGTATCTCTTTTCAGGTGTTATTAGTATTTTTAATAAAGATGATTAATTAAATGTAAAGTAAATAATATAGGAACAAAGCCAAATCTGGAAGGGCCTGGCATCTTCTTAGCAGAGGACAGTGTCAGGAGGGAAGTTACTCAAACAGAACAGCTTAACACAAGCCCCAGAAGCTCCCCATTTCTAACAAAGCCACTCTGACTGGGGAGTGTGTGCCGTGGCATAGTCACATAGATGTTCCTGCCCTCAGTTCCATAAACCTTTAGTGCACTATGAGAGTGGATGCTTCAGTATTGGCATGTTGGCCAGAGGGCATGCAAACCATCCATGCCTGCTCTAAACTAGGGATAACAAGAAAGAGAATTATGTGGTTCTATTTCTCTGCTATGAGATTGCCCTCCAATAACTCTTAGTTTATATCAAGATCACATGCTGGTAGTGGTACCTGTGACTTTGCATAGCATAATAATAGATCACAAACCATCTTTTGTCAGATCATTCTTCAAATTATGGGATATAGAAAATATGTTTTTTTTTCATTTTTCCCCCCATTCACGTAATAATTAATGTTGATTTCTGTGCTTGGAGATTACCATCTAGCTTAGAAAAGACACATTACTTAAGTAGTAATTACAATGGAGTATGTGGAATCTTCCTAAAGGCCAGTGCTGAGTGCTATGGGAACATGCAATGTGACCATCTTATCTAATTTAGCATCAGAGAACATCTTGAAGTAGTCATTTAAGCCAACACCAGTGATGAACAGGAGATAGCCAAACATTAATGGGAAGAAGTGTAGGGTCAGAATGTATTAGTCAAAGAAAGGAGCGTATACCAAGGATCAAAGAGGAGAGAAATGAAACAAGAGGAATAAAGTTCAGAGTGTCATCTGGAGTTTTGAGTGAGAAAAGAAGAAGTTAAAGAGGAAGAGAAGGGTTGGATTGGAAAGAGCATTGTCAATCACACTAAGAAGTATGAACATTATTCTAAAAGCACTAAGAGGTCATGGATAAGTTGTAAGCATGGGAATGGAACCATCAGATTTTAGTGTAGCAAAGAGAGGACAGAACCAATAGAACTTGTCAATATATTAAGGTAGATAGTTGGGTAGTCAAGGATGGCTTACTTTTTGGCTTGGCAACAGGGTAACTAATTTCAAGTTAAATAAACTCCAAATTCCTCCCAACGGCCTGTGAGGGCCACATGATCTGGCCCCTCTCTACCCTCACCTTGTACCACCTTCTCCTTTCTTCATCATAGCCCAGGTCAAAAGGGATGAGACCAGAACTTGGAGACACCTCTAAGTAAAAGACAAGGATACCTAGGGTTTCTATGGCTCTTGGAAAGATAACATTTAAATTCCAAAAAGTTAGGGTACAGACCCAGGATGCTTTCCTAGTCCTGTATAAAAATAGCAAACCCACCATTCTCCATTCCTTGCCTATGGAATGTAATCTGCCACTCACATAGAAAGATTCCATCCACTCTTTTTGCTGCCTGTGGGTATGCATGTGAGGGATATACGCTGCAATGTTAGTCTATTGAGCTGCTGATTGTGATTATCAATAAAAATTATTTTCCCTGATCCAGGTGACTTGTGTTTCTATAGTAGTCGTATATCTAAGGAATATGACTATGCAAGTGGGGTTACAAGTCATCCGGTCACAGTTCTTGGCAAAGCACATATTGGGCACAACTGCATAGATGGTTAGCATAGATCTTGAAATGGACAGGTAAAAAATTGAATTATAAAATCTCCCCCTAAATATATTGTATCTTTTCTCAGCAACAGGGACCACCATTCACTCAGACATTCAAGCCGGAAGTTGAGATCACTGTCTTTTTCATCCTGTTTCCAGTTTATCAAGTCTTGTCAACTCGACCTCCAAACTGACTTTGAATTGGTTCTCTTCTCTCCATCTTCAATGCTTGATCTGAATCCAGGTTACTATCAACTCTCATGACATCTGCTCTCCAAATGGTTTCCCTATTTCTATTCTTTTCTATTTCCAACTCATTCTTTACACAGCACCCAAATCAGTCTTGTCTAGTTTAAAATTGGATAGTGTCATTCACTGATTAGATCTGTCAATGGCTCCACATTACATTTAAAATACAATTCACCTTCCCACACCTTGAACTACAAGCATGAGCTGCCTCCAGCCTCCAGCCTCCTCTTCTACTGTCATCTTACCTCTGGGAAGTCTTTTTTTCTGTTGTCTCTTTTTAGGAACTGACCACATACTTCTTTTTCTTTTCTTTCCTAAAAAGACAGAATACATATAATCTTTTATAGCTATACATATAGATCTCCCAATTGTCTTATGCCAACAATTCTCAACTTTTATGTTTGGCTTTCAAATGACAATGGCTAGGCAGTCATTGGTGGCCTTAGGTAATGCTGCTTCATGGAGTAATGGCAGAGAAGAAATTCTAAAGTGGCAGGAGAGACATGAAGAAAAGAAGAGAATAATTTCAGGTAATGCATTTCTAGAAGCTATGCTGTGAACTGGAGGGAAGGGATATGGAGGCAAGTGAAGAGAGATGGGGATCAAGATAAATTTGTTTTATGAGCTGGGATAGGTATGGGCATTGGTTAGAATGCAGATCCTATAAGAGGTTGATGCTGAATTCTACAGTCAGGCGAGGTGGAAGGCTTGCCTTGGAGAGAAGGAGGGAACCAGAAAGGAGGAAATTCCCACTTGGTGGGTTTCTATGAATGAGGAAAATTAATCTCTTGAGAAAAAAAAGGAAGCATAAAGAGGGGCAGAAGTCTGGAGAAAAAAAAAGAGCTCAAAATTTAAAAAAGGATCATCACAGGAAGTGGGATTGTCATTTAAAGGAGGTGCGACTAACCCTTTATGAAGTTGTGGCTATAGGAGAACTTGGTGATTGCAGAACGGGCAATTTCATAGGGTGCATATTATAATGGCTCTAAATGCCTTCCACTTTTCCTATCATTTAATGAAGGCCTCAAAGCTAGAGGCAGTGAAAGGGAATTGCAGAAACAAATAGTCCTGAGCGTCATGACTACAATCACAGACAGTGCTCATGACAAGATTCAATCAGAAAAACAGGATGCAGCTTTGCATTCCCCCTCCTGATGCCTATAAGAAAAGGACAATCCTTACCTTTCCTGAGGAGAGGTGTGCTGGCTGCCTCCTGGGGCTCTACTGGATCATTTGGTTCAGGAGAATCATTTCTTATTACTGATAAGGGAAACAGAATTATTTTCAGAGCTCAGATGGGCTAAAGAGAAAATACTGAAGGAGCTTGATGTGAGAACAAGAGGATGGAGGACATGTGTGGCCCAGGGCTGGGAACCCACCAGTACAGGGTTTCCTACCTCTGCCCTGAGTCAATCAAACTTGTGGTTAATGTGACTTACATGACTATCCCAGAACCAGGGAACAATTTGGCCCATTGGATGGATTACCCTTACTCAGTGGAAGATGAATACAGGGACTCTCACTCAGGGAATGAGGCTGAGAGCAGTGGAAGTGGTGACCTTGAATTCTGTTAGCCACAGTGAAAGTGAATGTCTGCTATATAAAAAGACATATGTTATTGCTTAGATGTCTATGAATGGATATTTTTAAGCTGTTCTACCTGATTATTTCACCCTGAGAAGGCTAAGTGCCTTATATATATCAGCTGAAGAAAGCAGGAGCCAGGGGGTACTTGCTAGCACTTGTTAACAGCAAATAAATACAACAGTTCTTAGTTTCTGCTGCACTAAGAAAGACAGAAGGGCTCAAAGATAGAAAGCCATCACAAACAGAAACCCATCTCAAGAAAGCTATCACCTTTTTGTCTTCACATCCATATCAAATTCTGGCCTATTTAGGAACAGGTAACTGGGACAGGTGGCAAGCATAGACCCTTTAAACAATTCGTTGCATTTAAAACTATTTAATATCAATTTAAAAAAAACCTAAACATGCAGAGATTTTGAGGGCTAACAGTGATTGTTTCCCACAGTTAGGGTGGGGACTAGACAGGAGGGCCATCCATGTCTGGGGCTCTGATTCAGTGTTAGGGCCACACAGTGGTTTTGTTTGCTTTGCATTTTGATGGAGCAGTTTTGAGCCTTGCCTTATTTAAGTGGCCTCAGAGGGTGTGTTCCCACCTCAACCTCTCTGGAAGATGAATGTTCTCCCTTGGCAGACCCCTTAGTGGTGTTTGAGTCTAGGTCCAGTGGGTATTAGGAGGGTTCCCATCCCTTGTCATTGCTGTCCCCTTCCCAGTTCACCTTGCCATCCCCAGGGACTCTATCTCCTTCTAGGAGCCCAGGTCTCCTATCTGTCCAAACCTCCAAGGGCTGTGTGAGAAGCCAGGAGTTGCACCAGGATGGTGGTCAGGATCAGTCTCTAGAAGGTTCAAATGGATTCTCCTCTTTGCAGACATAAAAACTAAGGTGAACTTAAGTTGCCTAAATCAAAATTACCTGGCTCGTGGGCTGAGGGAGCCTGGGGCATCTCTTGAGCCTTTTCTTTATCTTTTGCTTGAGGGATCAGGTGGTCACTGGACACTGAGCAGAAGAAGAAAAGGAATTTCAGATGCCAGGACCAGCAAGCAGGGATCAGAGAAGGAAGAAAGATAACAATCTATTCCATCAGGAGAAAACGATGGGGCCTAGACTGAATACCAAGGCCTGGTGAGGGTGAGGCAGAATGGGAGAGTGAGCCTTCATTTGCTTTCAGTGGCTACTTACTAATTTAATTATGGTACCTATTTTTTTTTTCTTTGAAAAATCTAGAATATGGAATCTTACATTGTTATTCACTCTATGATGATGTTAACCTTAATCATATATATATATATATATATATATATATATATATATATATATATAACCATATATATTAGATGTGTGGAGGAAACATTATTTGGACCAAACAGGACCCCTAATTCTCATAATTAATGACACCATTTCTGGCAGCACCTAAAATATACCATGGTATATTTAACAAACTCCAACTTCTTTATAATGACGCTTTGAGGTTAATAAGCGACACAATCTCAGAAACTAAGTCAGGTCCAGCAGACCTTTAAACATGTTGTTCTCTTTTCTAATAATTTTAATACCATTGCTCTTAGAATTCAAACCACATGAAGATGAATAGGGTTGAAACAGAAAGGCCTGTAATCAATCAGAAGGTGGGCAATCAGGTGAGGATGGTGGTGTGAGTGTTGTTCAAGTTAGTTGTCAATCAGAACAGTGTGTTTGAGTGTTGGACATCACAGAGCCGACTGGCTGTGGCAGCAATCCTGACAAGTGGTCCTGTGCCAAGTCAGAGCATTGGTTCCCTTTTGTCTTTTTGTTTGTCTCCGGGTTCTTACCACCAGCCTCCTGATACTCCTGTTGGCAGGTGTGTATCCTCCCTTCATAGCTACCTTGAGTTAAACTAAGCCAGCCTCAAATACATTACCTTGCACAGTAGCAGGGGAAGTGCGGGGCACCCGTTGTGAGTCTTCTTCATCATTTTTGTGGGATGTTAAGTTGACCACTGAAGAGAGGAAGGAAGATCATTGCAGGTTAGATGGACAGGGTGTGGGGAAGAGAGTGAAGGTAAAAATGCCTGGGGCAGATGGAGCACCAAGGTCCAAGGGCAGAGGGTGGGGCTGTTCCACAGATGGAAGCAGGGCTCTGGGCCCCATACCCAAGCCCCTCACAGTGTACATAATCCGTCTTAGAAAAGGCTGTATATGGAGGTGGGTGTATGGAAGGGGCAGATTAACCCAAAGGTGGGACCTTCGGTTTGTAGACATAGCCACAGGCACCCAGGCTGGCAATGTCCAGGTGTTGGACTTAGTCTGTTTCTCACCTGGAGTGGTCCTTCCTTCCTGGATGACTCTTGGGAGAGCGTTGGCAGGGCCAGCAGAGCTGGGTGGCTTGTCCAGGACATTATTGCCTGGCTGTGGGATTGCTCTGGGCTGACTGACTCTGGGCACAGGGGTTGGGCATCTCAGTGGAGGGCGCTGGGCTGCAGGCAGTGGTAGCAGGTTCCGACGGGGATTTCTAACTGTTGAGTTGGCTGGGGCTTCAAAGACAGTTCTTCTCCATCCTCCACAGGAAGTGACAACTGGAATTGATAAAGGAGCACACATCAGCACCCTAGAGACTCAGAATTATGTGGGAAAGGGATTTCTTTACACACATGACTTCCAATAGGTTGGGGGGGGCATAGAGGTATTCATTCTCCCCCCAGGTGTAGAGAATTGATTTATGATCCTCGCCATCCATTTGTGAAATTTATGAATTTGAGCAGTGGTATACTAACTGTATCTAGCCTCGATCTAACAATGAAGTGAAACTAATATGAAGTTGAGTTTCACTTTGTCTCTAGGGATTTAAATTTTTTAGATTTTCCTTAATTTTGGCTTCAGAATTTAGATAATTATGAATAATGGTTTAATTGAATAGATGTCTCTGTTTTAATAAATAAAGACATCATACTTCCCTATAGCAAATAAGATAAAATATAATTTTTTTTTTTTATAAATTTCTTTTCATAGTGTTGTTTCTGCAGACTCAGCTTCCATGCCTCCTCACCTTGTACCCTGTGATCTGGCCACAACCAACTTCCTTCCCATTCCTAGTACCCCAGGCGCATGACTTTTCCCAGGCTGTTCTCTGGCATGGCTAATGGTGGGCTTCTATTATGATTCTTCTCCATAATTTATTTCAGAAGTAAAGTTGTTTCAATCAGTAAACAGAAAAAGGCAAGTAAGGTGGGATTTTGGAGAGGGACCCAGAAAAAAAATCACAGAGTAATAGATCAAGAAGGAAGTTTGAGCTCAGCTAGGTCAGAGGGGCACGTTGGTGTGTGGTCCCTCTGACTATCAGACTTGCTTGGCATGGCCTTTGAGAACAACATTTCTCCTAGAAATGCCCCAGTGCTGCCAGGAGTATGAGCCCACATGCCTGCCTGAAGATGACTTTTCTCTTTTGAGGCCCCTTAAGCCTAAGGATTCATTTCTTCTTTTGGGAAGGAGCCTGTGGATGGAAAAGTGTTGGAGAGCAGATGAAGAGCTGTCAACAATAGTGCTCTGCTGCTCTCTCCTCTGCCATTCTTAGATAAGTGAACCTCGTATTTCACCTCAAACCTGAAATAGTTTTACCATCTGCTCTTCTTACTTTTTTTCCCCCCGATCTCTATCACTGTTCTTTTTTCTACTCCTTTATTTATTCAGTTCTTTCTCCCTCTAAGTATGCTTCGTGCTCTATGTCTGTCTCATATCCTCTTTCTGCCTCTGTGTCCACACTTCCCCTCCCTTTTCTCTCTCCTCCAGTATCATACTCCGCCTCCAAGCTATCTGCTTTAGTAGAGTGATTAACATTCCACGCTCAGGTATTAGGAGATCCAGTAGGAATTCTGGCTCTGCTCATAACAGACTTTGGAAAAGTCACTTTTACTTTGAGCTTTAATTTCCTTCTGTGTTATATGGGGATAATTGTGACTCCACAGGATTGTTTTAAATATGATATGAAACAATCATATGAAGTGCCTGGGATATTGCCTGGCACTTACCAAGCACTCAAAAAGAAAATAATACCACCACCAAAAGATATACTTCATACTATTTCTCCTTACCCATTACTCTTCTTCTCCTTGTCCTTCCATCAGAAAGGGTCTCTGGTGGTATTATTTAAGGAGAAATAGTATGAAGTATGAATTATGAAGTAATGGGTAAGGAGAAATAGTATGAAGTATGAAGTATGAAGTATGACAAGGAGAGGAAGAGTAATGGGTAAGGAGAAATAGTATGAAGTATGAATTTCTTTCCTCATATTATGCATTTCTTAGAGACTGTCCAGTATGTTAATCTGCACCATTTTCCCAAATTCTTAAAACAGGTCAGACAGAAACATATGTGCCCTCTAGAAAGTCATCTTAGAGAACCAGCGGTAGAGGCTACACTTGCTGCCACATCTGAAAGAGAGCACGGCCCACACCTTTCCAAAGAGAAAGTGGGCAATTAAAGTGCCTCTTCCACAGGGCTGGAAAACAACCTGAATTTTCCATAGCAACCCCCCTCATGCTTCTATAGCCCCAGAGATATTTAAGAAGCCTCATACCATTTCTGAAGCTCCTGTGAATTGCCTCCAGGTTGGGGTATTCCCGTAGATTGATCTGACTGAACAACATTTCCAGAAATGACAGATTAAATGGATCCTCCAGTATGGTGAGAATGTTGTATACCACTTTGGATACAGGGACCATATTTCTACAGGCTTCCATAGACTCCTTAAGAAACAGAATGAAAGATTATTATACATGATTATAAAGATCAATAGAGATTTGTTATACATTTATGGTTTTCTAAGTTGTAATAGAGCTTTTTTGCTCTTTTAAGGGGGAATTTCATGCAAAAATGTATAATCAAACTCTCTAATGTAGAGAAATCACAGTTCTACCTGTTTACTTGGGAACTTCATATATATGTATTTTGATAGGCATAGAAATAAATTAGCCTTCTTTAAAATAAGTCTGTTTTGTAAACCTTATTTTAGTTCTATTTGAGGGAATAGAGAAATTTTATTTTGTTTTGTTTTTTAAATATATTTTATTGATATTTTACAGAGAGCTAGAGAGCTAGAAACATCGATGAGAGAGAAACATCAACCAGCTGCCTCCTGCACACCCCCACCGGGGATGTGCCTGCAACCAAGGTACATGCCCTTGACCGGAATCGGACCCGGGACCTTTCAGTCCGCAGACCAACGCTCTACCAGTGAGCCAAACCGGTTTCAGCGGAATAGAGAAATTTTAAGAAAGGAAAGTGGAATCAAAGGCTGTTATGGTATAATTAACTCTCTAAGGCTCTGGGAAGGACACTTTAGTAATTGACTAGGGGTCAGTAACTAGTTGTTATTCCATTGATTTTTGATAGCCTGAGTTCTCTCTTTGCCTCTTGGACTTGAGATAGCCTGAATAGGGTCCAGCCATAGGGAAATGACCCAGAGAATTCTTTTTGATGAGAGGATGGCTAAGAAGACAAATATGGCAAGAGAGAATTGATTGCAAATGTTTATGGAGTACCTACTAGTCTAGTTCTTGTGTACAAAGCAATGGCGAAGTTTAACATGTTGCTCCCCTTATGGGGAAGGGGCACTGTCAGGCAAAGAAGATAGGCATCCTAAATAATAAAAGGCTAATATGCAAATTGTTCCTTCTACCAGGAGTTTGACTGGGAGTTCGACCAGGGCAGAGCCGGCTGGCCAATCACCCACAGCCTCTCCCCTGGCCAGCCCCACCCTTGATCAGTCTCCCCACTCTGATCAGGGTCAGCCTACCAGAACCCACCCATGCACAAATTTGTGCACTGGGCCTCTAGTTAAATAATAAACACAAATTAAATAAATATTGTTGAGAGAAGTTTTACTAAGGGCAATCATAGGAAGAATAATGAGGGAGGTCTTAATTAGGAGTAGGTCATGGAGACATCTCTGAGAAGTGACAGCTGGGCTATGATCTAGAGAGGGCTTAGAGCCAACCAGGCCAAGCCTGGGGGGGGGATGATTCTATCATTGCTAACACTTCCCTAGGTTCAGGAAATGCTTTAAACACCCCAAATTATATGAAAAGAGTGCCATTTTTATACACATAGACATATCCCATTGTCTTCCTTTCTTCACATTAGAATGGACCATGGGTGCTATGTTCTTAGGAATTAAAATGGTGCCATTAGTAGGATGAATGGTATCCTCTCTCTCCAAAGATATGTGCACTTGAAACCTATGAATGTGATCTAGTTTGAAAAAAAAAGAAAAGGTATTTGTTAATATAATTAAGGATCATTTTGGATTAGGTGGGCCCTAAGTCACAATGACAAGTGTTCTTAGAAGAGAAAGAAAAGGGGAGAAGACACACAAACAAATAAAGTGATGTAGAGATGGAAGCAACTATTAGATGTTTTTATAAGTAAAGAATACCAACATTGCTGATACCACCAGAAGAAAGTCAGGGAATAGACTCACTCTAGAAAAAAAAAAAAATCAACCCTACCAATTCCTTGATTTTCGATTTCTGGCCTCCAGAACTGTGGGAGAATACATTTAAAAACTGGTTTGGGGAGGGGGGCAATGTTAAAATATGTACACAGATAATAATTTAATAAAAAATGTAAAAAAATAAAATAAAAATAAAATAAAATATATTTTTTAAAAAGTAAAAAATAAATAAATAAATAACTGGTTTTTGTTGATTTAGTGATTTTTTTGGAGAGAGACATTGACTTGTTGTTTCACTTATTTATGTATTCACTGGTTGATTCTTGTATGTTCCCTGACTAGGGATTGAACCCACAATGTTGGTGTATGAGGATGATGCTCCAACTAACTGAGTTACTCAGCCAGAGCCATTATTTCTTTTAAGTCATAGGGTTTGAGATTACCCTATGATATACTTTTTTTCTGCCAATAAATATTTGAGTCCAGGCCTTCTAAACTCTAGAAATCCAGGGTGTGTGTGTGGGCGGGGTGGGGGGTTCGTTTGGGACTTCAACAATTGGGCATTCTTGGTGAGAACTGGGCTGCTATGTGAACGTGGTCAACATGACTCACCGTGTACATTTTCTCAGAGATGAAGGATTTGTCTCTGAGGCCTTCCAAGAAGGGAAATGGCTTGCATATGGCATAGGAGATCTCCAGCTTCTGGAAGATGAAGTGCTGGCGAAGAGTTTCTTTTAAGTCTCGGGTGATGTTGAACATTCTGTGGAAGGGGCAGAAGAAAAAAAAAAGGAAGCAAAGACATTGTGGAGCTTGGGAAGCTGCCCCCTGTGTGTAGTGAGCATTCTGGTCCTAAAGGCATACTTGAGCAGTCTGCAAAGCAACATCTGCCTCAAAGACTCTGGTATATAGGACAATACCTAGCAATAACGGAGGCTAAAAGTGAACTCCGACAGTTTTGGGATGACTCTGACATCCCAAAGGAGCTGCTGGTTAAACATTAGGCAGGTATTAAAAATAGCTAAAATTAATTGACAGTTTCTAGTGTGCCAGATTTTAAGGGTTTCCCATGAAGTGACTTATTTAACTTTCACAAAACCTTTGATTACTATGATCATAGCCATTTTTATTGTCAAGGACACTGAGACATAGAGGGGTTTAATAGCTCACCCTAAATTGTGCAACCTGGAAGTGGTGCAGGTGAATAAATCCTGACTTTCTTGTTCCTGGCTCCCAGCCATAAGCACTATGGTCTGTGGCTACATTGAGCTGAGTTATGATTTCCTAGACTGCAGCTTAAGGCACACTCAAGCAATGCTTATGTAGGGGATGACCTCAAACAGGCAAAAAGATGGAAACATGATAAATCTTAGAAACTTTAATAAACCACCCACAATCTTCAACACACAGATAGGCAAAACATAAATAAAAATACAAAGAATATAAAAGACATGATTAGTAAAGGTGACTTAACTGATTTATGTATCAATTTCCTATCTTAGACATGTGCCTTTTCCCATGACACATTTATAAAATTTACCATTTGTAGGTCATGAGAAAATAATAACTTTAATAGGCAGGAAGTTGACAGATGACATTTCCTGACAAATTGTCAAGAAGTGAGAGGCACTGACAAAATATTCATTCATCTGGAGATACATAAAAAACAAAACGAACAGAGATCCCATTTTTCCAACACCATTTTATGTCTAAGAGAAAACGGAACTGTAATGACTATTTCCTAGGATTTAATTCCAGCGGCAGATTGAGTAACCCGTCTCTCTCTTTCTTCATTTTCAAATCCTTTAAGTTGACATTAAAAAAGGATAATATAAAAAAGAAAATGCAGAACAGTACTAGAAAACAAGAAAAAATGCCAGGGTAGGGATGGGATGGGCATCTATAATTGTGAAGAAATTCTGGAAGATAGAGAACAACTGGAAAAGAAATCTTCCATTTCCCAGGCATGAGGGAAGGATAGTGCAAAGAGCACAGAACTAGAGAAAGTCAGAATGAACACACGAAATGCTAAGAAGAGGAAGGGGCTCTGGAGTTACATTTAGGATGACTATGCAACAGCTTTCAGAACAGAACACTCTCCTAGTTCCTCACTCGTAAAAAAGCGTTTTCTGTGATTGTTCAATTATAGTTGACATTCATTATTATATTAGTTTTCAGTGTTCAGCACAGTGATTAGATATTGATATAGTTAATAATTAATGAAGTGACCCCCCTCATTCCTTGTCTGTTATGATTCCTAGGGATGAAGCACAGAGAGGTTAAGTATCCTGCAAGGTATTCGGTGGCAAAGGAGAGCTCATCTGACCACAGCACCTGATACCACGTCTCATCTATGAGTATTCAGACTTTTATTATGTGAAGAAGTCTTAAAATGAGCCAACAAAAGACAAACATCCACATAGAAAAAAAAAAAAAAAGCAAAAGACATAAACAGGCAATTATATAATTGCGCAATAAATATAATGAAAAACAGGGTAACTCACTAGTAGTCAGGACAGTGCAAATAAAGACAACTTAATAACATGTTTGCCTCTCAAATAGACTGAGATAAAATCACAGACTCTCCTGGTGGAAGCTGAAGGCTAACTTAGTAATCATGGCCAAATGTCCTAAAGTATGTGCTCCCTCGAGTCCCAGATTCCACTTCTAGGAACTTATTTCAGGTAAATAATTATGGATATGCTTAAAGAAAAACTATAAGAAGTTTACAATACACCACAGATGTAGCCTCAATGTACCCTCCTTATTTTCTCCTTTCTCCCAGCTTCCCTACTACTTCGAGTCACTGCATGGGCACAGTGGATAATGAATGAGTTGCCATTTGGGGCAGGGAGCAGGATCACAGAGTGAGGATGAGCATGGGGGCGAGCAAACTTGTCGCACCCACAACAACAGGCTAGAATTTAGGGAAGAGAGAGTTGAGCTGTATGTGTGGTGCCCTTCTATGTCTGTCCCCCTGTTCAGTAGTCTCCTATTAAATCCACGTATCCTCTAGCTCTTTGGAAAACAGTTTTACGGAGAGTACGCTGCACAGTTTAAGCAGTGGAGTTCCACCCTACAGCTGCTGCCAGGAAATGAAACTTAAAAGCCCAATCACCAAACATGAACAAAGCAGCTAAGTGGAAACCCACCTGGATGCTGAGTTTTCCACCTGCTCCTTCCCTTCCCTGGTGCAGGGACCAGCCAGGGGTTGCTCCTGGAAGACTGGAAGACAGGCAGGGAGATACCAGAGGGCGAGGCAGGAAGTCTGTGCTTGGCACACGAAGCAGAGAGGGCCAGGCTACCCAGGAAAGAAAAGTGAAAGTATATTGAGCAGTGTGTGCAGGAAGCTGAAGGCTGAACTTGCAGCTTCACTCCACCCTCCAGAAACTTGTGAGGTTACAAGGGTACCGGGGGTTGCTGGTGGTGGGCTGCTCCCCATCCAGTCCAGCCTGGGACGGGGAACAGAGGGGAGAAAGTGTAGGGGTTCAACCCCAGGGTCCTGGGGATCTGAGAAGCCACCATGAGTCTGCTTCCCTATCCTCCTCTATTTCCCATGTCTTGTCCTTCTATACCTTTTGGGTAATGAAAATGTTCTACAACCGGATTGTGGTGATGGTGACAGTCACGCAACTGAGTACATTTACTGGAAACCGTCCAAGCTTAAAAAACAAACAAGAAATTAAAGGGGAAGTGAGGCAGCTCAGCTATGCTTATAACACACTTTATAATGCTGAGCATTGGGGCTGTCCCCAGTCCCCTGTCTGGACCTACCTCCTCCAGTCCCAGGCTCCCTGCTGTGCCAGGCCAGCTGTCCCTTTTCTTTCTCAAGCCACTTCAGCAAGGGAAAGGGACAAACGCGAAGCACCCTTAGTCCCCATACAAAGTTACTGCCTCACCTCAGAACAACTTTGATTCCTTTGAATTAGGCTTCCCCGGCTTCTTTCCTTTGGGTAAACAAGTGGCCCCCTGTTTTCCTCCTAGATCTGGCCACGCTCCTCCTTCCCGGAACTGACAATGCCCTCTGAGGCTGGGGGGAGGGACAAACACCACAGATGCTGGCTGATCTGCCTTTTCACTTTTCTTTTACCCTTTGAGCGCCGAACCTGAAGGATCCTTCAATGGGCAGCTGTTCTCCCTAGAGCTGTGGGAAGCCAGTCAGGGAAAGTCTAACCAAGGGTGATCCTAACCCAGCTCCATGGCCCAGGGGGGCCAGCAGATGGCAGATGGAGACCATAATCTCAACTGCAGGTCAGTCTTCTGTCTTCTCCTGTCCTTCATTTCTGGTAAGGTGGGCATCTACTGTTATTATTTCTCTCTACCCAGCCTCATTCTATAGTTATGTAAGAGAAGGAGATTGCAAATAAATACATAATGAGTGCATTAGGTTTTTAAAATTAAAGTGGGAAAATTTAAGGCCACATGATTCACATTACATAGTTCTTTTTCTCACCACCCCTCCTCCCCTTCCCCACCCAACCCTCTCATTTTCCCCATTCCTCCTCTAGCCCCACCCACAGACAGTTCTGTCCAGAAAAGGTCTTTTTAGAAAAATTAACATCCCAGTCAAATGCCTGATTGTTGTCAAACCTTTTCCAGTTTCCAGGTAGTTGGGAACCAGTTTTATTCAGAGCCTGAGAGTTGATCCAGTGCCTCTGAACACTTGATTAGAGGAACTGAAAATAGGTGGTGCCCAACAGGGACTAATATAATCAACTGGGGAGCGAGTGTTGCTTTTTTTTTTTTTCTTCTTCTTTTTTTTTTAAATTCTAGGATGTAATACCCACCTGATTAGAGAAGGAAGCAAATATTCTTTTAAAACGCACAATTTAAAAATCCTATATAATAAAGAGGTAATATGCAAATTGAATGTCATTCCAAAACACAAGATGGCCACCCCCATGTGGACATAAGATGGCCACCACAAGATGGCCGGCAAGAGAGGGCAGTTGTGGGGGGGACCAGGCCTGCAGGGAAGGGCAGTTGGGGGTGACCGGGCCAGCAGGGGAGAGAAGTTGGGGGCAATCAGGCAAGCAGGGGAGCAGTTAGGCATTGATCAAGCTGGCAGGGGAGTGGTTAGGAGGTGATCAGGGTGGCAGGCAGAAACGGTTAGGGGCAATCAGGCAGGCAGGCAGGCGAATGTTTGGGAGCCAGCAGTCCTGGATAATGAGAGGGATGTCTAACTGCCCGTTTAGACCTGATTCCAGGATCAGGCCTAAATGAGCAGTTGGATATCCCCTGATGGGTCCCAGATTGGAGAGGATGCAGGCTGGGCTGAGGGATACCCGCCCCATGCATAAATTTCATGCACTGGGGCTCTAGTATAATTTAAAAAGGCAAGTTAAATACATTAATATGTTCTTGTTGGTAAAAATTAAAACAATGTATAATTTATGGGAACTTATGCAATGTGGTGGGTCCGCAACACCCAGCATAATCTCTTCTGGCAGCAGAGAACATGTCCTGACCACCACTCCTCCATTGCTCTCATGACATTTGAAGATGAGTGAGTAGAGCTAGTCGTCCAGTCAATCTTTGGCCTTCAGGCAGGGAAAGAAAGGCAGTAAGAAGTGAGGTCAGGGGTAATGTTAGCCTCATAAAATCATTTAGGAGTTGATGCCCTTGCTTCCATTTTCTGGAAGAGATTGCCAGTTGAAATGGTTTGGTGAAATTCACTAGTGATACCATCTAGGCCTGGTGCTTTCTTTTGGAGAGGGGCTATTAATTATTAATCTAATTCCTTTATCAGATATAGGCATACTCAGAGGATCTATTTTTCCTTGTGGAGTTTTGGTAGTGTGTGTCTTTTAAGGAATTTGTTCATTTCATTTTTTTTTCAAATTTGTAGACATAGTTGTCCATATTATTTATGTATTATTCTTTTAACATCCATGGGATGAATAGTGATTTATTTGTTTCTGTTATTAATAATTTGCTTTCTCTGTTTTTTTTTTTTTGTTTGTTTTTTTGTTAGCTAGGCTAAAAGTCTGTCAATTTTATTGAACTTTTTTTCTAAAAAATTATCTTTTGGTTTTATTGATTTTCTCTAATGTTTTTCTGTTTTCAATTTCATTGAGTTCTACTCAAACTTTTATGGTTCCCTTTCGATTGCTTGCATTAAGCTTATATTTCATTCCCTTCCTTCCCCTTTAGTTTCCTTAGGTGGTAACTTTAAGTTGTCGCAGAGGCTCCTTACACTGTCATTTTTTTGAAAAACTTTTTTTTTTCTTTTTGTTGTTCTGATTAGGTGTTTTTGCTTCCTTATATTCCAAGTCATTGTTTTGATTATTGGCTTCATCTACTCTACTGTTGATTTCCTGTAAATTATTCTTCATTTCAGTTAGTGTATCCGTCATTTATGATTGATTCTTTTTTATGGTTTCCATGTCTTTTTTTTATGGTGTTGAAGTTCTCTCTAAGTTCATATATACTTTCCCTAAGATCACGGAGCATGCTTTTAACCAGTGTTTTGAACTCTGCATCTAGTAGATTGCTTGTCTCCATTTTGTTTAGTACTTTTTCTGGAGTTTTGTTCTGTCCTTTTATTTTGGACATGTTTCTTTGTGTCCTTATTTTAGCAGTCCTGTGTTTGCTTCTATGTATTAGGTAGAGCTGCTATGTCTCCTGAGCTTGGTAGAGTGGCTAGTAGGTGTCCTACAGGGTCCAGTGACACAACCTCCTAGTTCACCCCAGCTGGGCCTCCAGGGGCAACCCATGGTGGACTGTGTACATCGTCCGGTTGTGGTTGAACTTTTATTGATGTTGGTATACCCATGAGAGATATTTACCTCCAGGCTGATGGGTGACTGGATGTAACTATTGTGGATGATCAGCTGTGCAGAGCTCTAGTGCTTGCTGAATCCATCCCTGGAGTGTGTCAATAGTGGGTGGTAGTTCAATGTGGTGTGAAGCTGCTTACTGGGTGTACTGGTTCTGGGGCCACCTGGCATAGCTACAAAGAGGTCTGCAGATGATTGTTACTTGTGCTGGTCTTGGAGGTGCCTAGGAGAGACCAAGCTATGAACCAAAGCTGACTGCCACTAGTGCCGGGCCTGGCACAACTTAACAAGAGGAACCAGGCATATGGAAACCAGGTGCTGCTTTTTTGGGAAATTTTAAGAAAGTCTGAAGCATGAGTAAAGGCAGGCCATTGGTATGGAAAAGCTACTGGGAACAGCTTAGATAGGCTCAAAAGTTGGATGGGGCAGGGAATCACCAGGATGGGGGTGGGGAAGTGGGAGAATGGTGACTGACAGCTCTGTGGGGTAGGTTTCAGAAAATGTACCCACCTAATTGTTATCTGTCACATGTGACTGGAATCAGCCCATTCTGCATTTCTGCCCCTCCTATTAGTCTCAATATGGCTTATTCTTTAAATCCCTAGTTGTAGGACTTCCATTTAGTTAGATTTCAGTTGGTTCTGAATGATGGTTGTTCTGTACAGTTTAGTTGTAATTTTGATGTGGTTGTAAAATGATGCTAGTATTGCATACCAATGCCACCATTTTGACTGGAAGTCAGTGCTACTTTTTAAATTGTATACACATTAAGGATTGCCATGAAATTCATCCTTCTTGCAATCTTGGACCCCTTGGGGGATGTCAGATAGCCAGTTTTGGCCAGATCCTGCAGGCCAGGTTGAGGGACCCCACTGGTGCTCGAGTCCATGCATCATGCCTCTAGTCATTATATAATGCCCTTCCCATCTCCAACAATTATACTTTTTCAGAAGTCTGCTTAGTATGAAATTAATATAGCTACTACAGTTTTCCTTTGATTAATGTTGGCATGGTATATCTTTCTTCGTCCCTTCACTTTTAACCTAACTGTGTTTTTGTATTTAAAGTGACTTGCTTATAAATAGCATATAGTTGGATGTTGTCTTTTTCTCTGTCAAAGTCTATGTTTTAATCAGTATATTTAGACCATTCACATTTAAAATGATTATGCATGTTGTTGGACTGATATCTATAATTTTATATGTTTTCTATTCATTGCATTTGTTTCTATTTGTTTTTCTTTTCTGTTTTTGTTTTAATTGAGCATTTTATGATTCCATCTTTCAGTATATCAATTATACTTCATTTAAAACATTTTTATTGCTTTACCTAGAGTTTGCAATAAATATTTACAACTAGCTATCTCCATTTTAAATAATAGTGTACTGCCTCATGGTTAGTGCATGCATCTTATAATAGGATGTAACAAATTCTTTCCTCCTGTTCTTTATAACACTACTACTAGTCATTTCACTTATTCATATGCTGTAATAACAACATAGTAGTTGCTATTACTTTGAACAAATAGTTATCTATTAGATGAATTTATAATAGGAAAAAGTGATTATACATACATTAATTTCTTTCTAATATTCCTCATTTCTTTATGTCGATATGAGTTTCTGATTCATATAGTTTTTCTTCTGCCTATAGAACTTTAAAAAAAATTCTTTCTGGGTATTTCTTCGAGAAAGGAATTACCTCAGTGCTTGCTTGAGAAAATATTTATTTCTCTTTTACTTTGAAGGTTAATTTCAAAGACTAAAAATTTTTACATTGGTGTTTTTTTTTTTGTTTTTTTTTATCACTTCAACTATTTCTTTTTACCCTCTTGCATGGCTTCTGATGAGAAATTTGTTGTAAGTTTTATCCTTGTTCTTCCATAGATAAAATTTTTCTCTCCTCATCCTTTTGGATTATTTTAATAAATTTCTTTGTCTTTGCCTTCTGCAGTTTGAATATGAAAAGACTTGGTATAGATTATTTGGCATCTATCCAGTTTGATATTTACTGAGGTTCCTGACTCTGTGGATTGTTGTCTATTATTACTTTTGAAAAAATTATTTGGCAATTACTACTTGAACTATTTCTTTTGATTTCTCTTTTATCCCCTAGTATCCAACTTACACATCGTTTTGAGATTGTTTCATCATTTTAGTATGTTCTGTTTTGTTTTGTTTTCCCCCTTATATTTTTTCTCTTTGTTGTTTAATTTGAGAAGTTTCCATTGGCATATCTTCAACTCACTGATTCATTCCTTGGTCATGTCCAATCTGCTGATGAGCCCATCACAGGCATTCTTTTTTTCCTGTTGTAGTATTTTTAATTCCTAGCATTTTCTTTTTTATTATTTCTTTGAGTTTCTATCTCTTTACTTATTTCACCCTCTGTTCTGGCATGTTGTTTGCTTTATCCATCAAAGCTCTTAACATTTTAATTAGTCATAGTTATTTTAAATTCTTGTTTGATAAT